AACTAATTTTTAAAATCCTTGCTAAATGAAAGCCTCATTGTGTGGCTGTAGTCAAGGGAAAATTCTGAATGACTAATCTGCTTTACTTGGGAAAGTTTATAACCATGAACCACTGAAACAATATACTTGAGAAGATAAGCTGCCATTTGTTAAAATGAAGGACAATTCTCAATTATAAACCTCAACATCTTTTATATTTGGGCAGATTGCTAAGCCTTTTAATTAGTTAAATCTGCTCCTGTAATCAAAAGATATCTGCACACTCCACTCTGCTGTGAAGATTTCAAAGATTTAAGCGATTAACATGGCAAAAGCCATGGGTGGCTAATTGGATAAGCTTTAATCTTCACACTGCCAAAATGATACAGAGGAAGATCAGAAGGTGGAAGCTGGACTCTGTTGGGTATGAAGGGGTCTACTCAACTTGTCAAAAAGATTTTTTTTGATGGTAGAGATAACTTGTCACAAACAAAGCAAGAACAACAGCTATATTAAAATTATGCCATTACATCTTTCTTTTTGACATTGGTATTTTAAAACGGGCAAAAAAAAATCCTTTGAAATAGTGGAGTGAGTCACAAATTATGGGAACTAAAGATTTGCTTATAAATATCTTGGAAAATTTTGCAGGGATTTTTGGAGGGAAGATACGTTTTTCAGAGAATTAAGCATGTTATGAGGCACATTGAGAACTATAAACTACTGCCAGTAATCTCCCAGATAGACAAATCTTCCAGAGATAAATATTGGCCATGCTAGGAAACAGAAAGAACATTTTATCATGTAAGGGAGACATGCTAGAAAAACTTCAAAAGTACTGAATAAGACATATATAATACAATACAGAAAATTTTGGAATTTAAATTTGAAATGAAACAGCCATTTTTACTAGGTGTAAACCCAGAATATTTGAATAATAAATATAATAATTTTCTAAGAATAAGTTTTTCCCCAACTTTGGAAGAAAGACGCAATTCTGATGATATCTAATTGGGATTTTAAGCTTGAAAAATGTGTAGCAACGGAAAAATTAACTGTAAATATTCATAACAGAAGTTTAACCAAATTCAAGCCAGAGTGGTTCCCATATATACAATATTTTATGCAGCTTGTCAAATATAAACACCTACCATATGGTTTCTAAGAGGGTCTAAATTCTTGCAAACATTGCAAATTGATTGAGTAACAAAGGAAAAGTTAGAAACCAAATAGCTTTTTAACTTTTTTCTCCTAATATGCATAAACAACAATGGAGAATACAGTGGAGACCTTAATATTAAATATTAAGCTTGATAGAAACCTTCATTATATAATCATCAATAGCTTAATGCATTTTGCAGTTGTTTACCAGTGCAACTCTCAGCTCTTGATGTAAATTTTATGCAACATCATGCTTCTTTGAACATTATCACTTTTGAAATCGTGGTTAATGCTGTCATAAACTTGTTTCTTTACCTTTAAAAGTAAAAATTATCTAAATCATCAGAGTATTAATAATTTTTAGTCAACACTATAATACTATTCTGCCAAATAGTATAATGTACTAATTGTGTTATATAATAATACAATAAAACAATAGTTTAAAAAAGAATTAAAGTTAAATTGTATCTCTTCCTTTATCTCCCAACTGGGAGTAGAGGTTACCCATCTCAGATTATCCTTTCCTACTACAGCAGAAAGTTCTATGCCTCCCATCTCTCTGAAGTTAGGCTTTAATGTTAGTTTAAATAACGCAGACAGATGGGTGAATATAATATTGGAAACTCATAAACTCCCTTTGGCCCTTGGCCTCTTAATACCAATTTAACACCAATTACTGTACCAGTAATGACAATCATTATATGAATATAATACCTTTACAATTCCCATTATGAAAGAAATAGATTTTGTATTGAACAATAAACCTCAGGTTGAATGGCAATCATCATTTTACCTTTATTTCTGCATTCTGCTGCTGATTTTGGCGGGCTTTGGGGGAAAACGTATGGTAAAGAAATAATGCTGTGGCTGGAAAGCTTGGTTGGTACTTTTTAAAAGTGAACAAAAAGCTCATACAATTGCAGGGATGGCAGCCTATGGCCTTCCAGAGGTTTAACCTCTGAATGGACCCAGTGGATTGATATTAACTATTGCATTATGTTGCAGATCATTTTGATTTTGTTTTGGGATTTACACTTTTTCTTCCTATATGACATGGTCCTTTTTGTTTGCTTACATTCTTGTTCTAAGCTTTGGCTTAGCAATCTGAATGATACTGATTAGGGTTTGTTTTTTTTAACATCTTAAAATCCTAACTTGCTGTCTCAAATAAGGACAAATAACTAAACAGTCCTCAAGGATTCTCCTTAATTAACAAAGCTATAATTTGTAATAGTTGATCGATTGAATTGTTAACCTAGCAGTGCTGATTTAATACGTTTTTCCTAATTGATTGAATTTATTATATTAATTTATTAATTTAATTGATATTAGAATAGCCTTGATGACTCCTTGACTTATCTTTTCGGAGATATTTCCTCAATGCCTTCAACAGTGACAGTGTCATGGTTCCGACAGATGAAACTCAATGTCAAAGCAAAAACATCCAATGTTAGCAGCGTTGACGGACAGAATTTCTAATGTACTGTACTGCATTCACTGGAAAAGCTGAGATATATTCAGAGATAGACCCACCTTGAAAATAGCCAACGTTGAACTACATGGCACAATCAAACATCAGGAAATATTTTATGACATTATTGTGTCAGAAACTGTTTTAAACATTTTATATCATAAAATGTTTTATAAAATTTGCCAAATTTCTATTCCATGAGAATCATTGGCCCCAGATTTTGGATACATGCCATAAGTTAGCTTATATGAGGTATCTTGGTTCAAAAGGTTTTGCCTTATGGTACACTGTTCAGTTAAAGGAATCAGAGTTTTATTAGTATATAGATTCTGAAGCTGTAATCATCTGCAGATCAGTGCTTAAATTATCATCAGTTGAAGCTTTAGTTTCATCTGAGTTTGTAAAGGAACCAAAAATAGTTTGGATTTTCAGAACAGCTGTTGTCCTAATCTGTTGCTTTAGTATTTTTAAATGTGACTAATTCATTGTGATGCAAGCTTTCCAAAGCAAAGTCTGAATCCTTCAGTAGGTACATGTGAATAATTTAAACCTGCATTTCCCCCCCCCCCCATTCCAGATAACTGGTCCTCAACATTTTAATGAGAGGCAGGTGGAAAAGCACTACAGTAAATCTTGAGTTACTATGGTAATTGTGACCAGAATTTTGTTGCTAAGTGATGTGGTTGTAAAGTTGACATCAAGTGACAGCATGGCTTAGTGACAGAAATTCTGGTCCCTGTGGTTACCATTAAGTGAGAATTGCAATCATTAAGTGAGGACCTCCTTACAACTTCCTGCCGGCTTTGAACAAACAAATTCTTTAGGAAAGCCGGCAGGGATTCACAAGTCCCAGGTGGCTTGCAAGCAAGCTGGAAGGCAGGTAAATGGCTGTTACTGGGTTGGGAGGGCGCACAAGTAGCTTGTGTGGTACAAGTGCTGCAGAGACTGGGGTGGCTGCTGCCAGGCAGGGGAGTGTGAATGAGAATGAGTGAGTGGCTGACACAGTGTCTGTTGAGGTGTAGCGTAAGTATGTCAGGGCCAGAAAAGATTGCTGCTGGATAGGGGAGAGTGTGCAGGTGGCTTCAGGGAGTATCAGGGATGTAGGCTTTTTCAAAAATTTTCAAAGGTAGAATCAAGAAAGAAAATACCAGTACTGTATAAGACATAGAAGTGCATGAGTTGTAACTGCAGTTTCATTTTAGGCAATGCTAACAGGTAATAAAATTGTGTTTCTCAAGGTGATAGAAATTTTGAAATATTATTCTCACTATCATGGGGTCAGAAAGGAAGCTTCAGCTTTATCCTTATGCTTGCTTATTTGGAATAAAGGTACAAAGCTAATGGATATTATGCTTATTTAAGCATCATGTGCATTGCATGTTTTCCATTTGATTTTAAGACTGTATAGGAATTTAAGGTATTGTTGAAAATGAAATTTTTGCTTTCCTTTTCCATTGCCTCATGCTGACTTTGGGTAGTGAGATTTTTAATGAGAATTTTTGTTAAGTCTTGGGAAAAAAATTGAGAAAGATTCTTGTAATTAAATTAGTTTGTTTTGTATGTTTGTTTGTTTTTTGTTGTTGCAGTCCCTAACACTTTAAAGGAGATATGGAAAAGAATGCCCCAAAGTGTTTTAAATATTTTTAAAAAATCATACCTTTTACAGATGCTCATTCTGAATTAAATACTAAATTGCTTTTCTCTTTGGAGTCATTTGATACTTGATCTTTGTCAATGTTTTTACATATGAGTGATATATTGCATAATTGGATCCCCCAGATGATGATGATGATGATGATGATGATGACGATAATAATGTTGGAAGGGATCTTGGAGGTCATCTGGTCCAACCCCCTGCTCAGGCAGGAAATCCTATACCATTTCAGACAAATGGCTGTCCAGTCTCTTCTTAAAAACTTCCAGTGTTGGAGCATTCACTGCTTCTGGAGGCAGGTTGTTCTACTGATTAATTTTTCTGACTGTCAGGAAATTTCTCCTTAGTTCTAGGTTGCTTCTCTCTTTGGTTAGTTTCCATCCGTTGCTTCTTGTCTTGCCTTCAGGAGCTCTGGAGAATAGCTTGACTCCCTCTTCTTTGTGGCAACCCCTGAGATATTGGAACACTGCTATCATGTCCCCCTTTGTCCTTCTCTTCATTAAACTAGACATACCCAATTCCAGCAACCGTTTCTTACAGTATATGCTTTAGCCTCCAGTCCCCTAATCATCTTTGTTGCTCTTCTCTGTACTCTTTTTACATCTTTTTTACATTGTGGTGACCAAAGATCTCCACTGTTCTTCGCTTTAGTCTAAATATCCTGTCAGCAGAATCGGAATCAGAATCATACCAGTGATAGGAGCATTAATTTGTTTTTAAATAACTCATTTTTAGGTCTAGCCTAATGGCAGGCGGGGTCAGAAGAGAAGTAACAAACCCATGGCTTGTGGAGGAGCCTGAGGAAACGAGAGGGCTTGACTTTCATGATATCCGGCAGCAACAACAGAGAATTATCGAAGGTAAATCCTTCCTTCCTTGTTTTATCTTGTGAACTTTTGTATTAGTTTTGTAGCTGATCACAGCCTAGATCAGCGATGGCGAACCTTTTAGAGACCGAGTGCCCAAACTGCAACCCAAAACCACTTATGTATCGCCGGATGCTGCCTGGGCATGGCCCGCTGGGTGGGCGTGGCTACAATGGTCATGGCAGATGGGTGGGCGTGGCCAGCTTGATGTTGCTCCTGGGGAGGGATGCCTGTGGGGGCCGGGCTAAGTTGGGGAGATCCAGGGGGTCTTTGGTGGGTGGGACGGTGGGCAGGAGGCTCGTCCTGCGGGGTGAGGTGAGGCAAGGCGAGGCAGGGCGGGGGTGCCATTGTCGCAGGACAAGGCGAGGCAGGGGCCACGGCGGCTGCTGCCTGACACCATTGGCCCCCGCACACAGAGACCAGCGAGCGCATGGGTGCTGGGATGCATCTGGCCATGTGGGACCTCGGCGAGTTAGCGGGTGGCTGGTTGAAGAGGACAGTTGCCATCTCCGGGGCATGGTGCGCGTGCCCACAGAGAGGCTCGAATGCCACCTCTGGCACGTGTGCCATAGATTCGCCACCACTGGCCTAGATTTAAAATCTTCCATTTTGTATTTTTCGGGAGGAGGTGTCTTTAAATCGTCCTTAAAATAGGTATAACATTTTTGCAGTATTTTGTTTTGCCAAGAGTTATCTAAGATGTTTGAATCCTTGGATAGATATTTATTTTGCTGTTAGCATAGTTTCTCTCTTTATGTTCATCCTTTTTATGTTTGCAAATAATTTTTGTTAGCTGCTAAAAAGAAGGTATCAGCCTGGAATTCCTTAAGCAAACTCAAGTTATTGAATGCCACAATTTTTTTCCCCCTGATTCTTCTACATCTCTGGGGAAGTAATCATCTGTGCCTCTGTTTATTGGCATGTTGTTTATGGAAACGGTTAACTATTTGCTTATATCAATTTCAGGAAGGAAAAACTCATTCTAATCAATATATGATTGAAATCAATATGGTAGTTATATTGTCGTGACCTTAATCCCCAGACTTTTTTCTCCATGCCCTTTTCTGATGCTTTTGTACTGCTGTTATTCCCTAGATTCATTTTTTTTTTTTAAGTAGGTGCGCTTATAGTTTGTGGTCTGGGACTTTTGCTCCCAGACATAATCTCCATTCTATCACTTGGTGGTGGTCTGTTGCCTGTGGTTTTACAGTCTCCAAACCAGCTTTCTTCTTAAATATTCTTTGCTATTCCAGAACCTTCCTAGACATTTTGTGGATGTGTAGTTTATTGGGAAGATTTTTTTGCATGCTAGCAAAGAATAGTTAGGGCTAGCATAGAATTTTTCCTACAGCAATTAGCTACATTGGTAACATCTTTAATTTCTGAACTTCTTAGTTTGAACTGTTGTAACATTTTTCTTACTGTTTGCCTTTTTCCTATAAAAGTCTTTTTTCCCTTTCTGCAAATAACGTTCACAATAGCTAGTGAATAATCTTTCGGAAAAATCATCAACTCTGTCCAAGACTCTAATCCTCGACTTACAACAATTCATTTAGTGACCGTTCAAATTTACAACGGCACTGAAAAAGGTGACATGACCATTTTTCACCCTTACAACTGTTGCAGCATTCCCATGGTCACATGGTCAAAATTCAGATGCTTGGCAAACTGGTTCGTATTTATGACGGTTGCAATGTCCTGGGGTCATGTGATCAGCTTTTACGACCTTCTGACAAGCAAAGTCAATGGGGAAGCCAGATTCACTTAACAACCATGTTACTAACAAATGCAATAATTCACTTAACCAACTATGGCCAAAAAAGTTGTGAAATGGGGCAAAACTCACTTCACAAATGTTTCACTTAACGATATAAATTTTTGGACTCAATTGTGGTCATAACGTTAAGGACTACCTGTAATTTAGTTCATTTAGGACAGAGGTGGCGAACGATGGCTCCCTTTATGTCTTGTGGAATTCAACTTCCAGTTTGGCTGGCTCAGGAATTCTGGGAGTTGAAGTCCATAAGTCATAAAAGGGTCATTGTTTCCCACCCCTGATTTAGAAAGTAAGGGTGCGGTTATGCCATGTGTTCCAGATTACAGTTGGAAGTAGGGAGATTGCAGCTATGGCAATGCTCTCTCCCCCAAATGTTGGATTAACTCCACAATGAAAGATACATTAGCACACAGTTTGAAAAAGATATTTAGATTCATGGTGTTTGCTTCGTTTGCTTGGAGCCTTGGTGCTGCAGTGGTTAGAATGCAGTATTGCAGACTAACTCTGTTCACTGCCAGGCTCAAGATTCATTTAGCCTTCCATCCTTCTGAAGTTGGTAAAACGAGGACCCAAATTGTTGGGGGAAATATGCTGACATTTGTAAACTGCTCAGAGTGTTGTAAATCACTATGGAGTGTTATATAAGTCTAAGGGCTATTGCTGCTTTTTTCTCACTCATGTTAAACCTTTCTTGGAAAATCAGAAAAGCTTAATGAGTAAACTGTGTGAGTATGCCAGACAATCCAATGCTTTCGTAATGGAGAAGTAGCTAATCATCCAGTTTCTTAAGTATTTGGGATCCTTGACTAAATGTACTTGTTGAGAAATTGCTCACTACTGTCCACATTCATTGTAAATTCATATTGAGGCAATATTTATTAGGCCAATTGATAAAATCCAACTTTCCAATTTCAAACCCTAAGACTAGCTTTTTCTTTAGCCAAGATGGCTAAAAATCCAGAAAATAGATGGAACAACAGTTATGCATACGTGAAAATTCCATGATTTTTTACTATTTCTTTTTGGATTTTTAAATATTTTGCCTGATGGGAAGTTCTTAGAAATTCAAAGATCACAGTGATTACATAAGCCCTCATTTAAGCAAATAAAGGTACCAAAGAAATAAAGAAATGTTTAAATAATTGTTGCTTGATTTTTTTTCTAGCAGTCAGCTTAAGTGCTGTATCTATTTGTTTTAGTATATTAAAATTTGACTTTTCAATTTATTATCCAGCCATTAGCAAGTTTTCTTTCAGTTTAAACCTACGTTTGGGCATTTCCTCAGCAATCTTTATATATAAATCTCGGATTTATTAACTTGAATTTTATATTCATTGAGCTTGTTTTGCTTTTTTGTACAGAACAGGATGCTGGTCTTGATGCACTCTCTTCAATCTTATCTCGCCAAAAACAAATGGGACATGAAATTGGAAATGAATTAGAGGAACAGAATGGTAAGTACATGAGGCAAAAGAATTTTTAGAATTTGATGTATCTGTTAAATTCACTGTTATGTTTATAAAAAATGAAAAACACTTTATTTTTATTTACCCAGTTTTTATTGTTTTTATAAATAACTCATATTCTCATGAACATACCTAATACTTCTTCCTCCTCCTAATTTTCCCTCAAGAACAACCCTATGAGATGGGTTGGGCTGGGAGAGAGAGAGAGTGTGTGTGTGACTGGTCCAAAGTCGCCCAGCTGGCTTTCATGACTAAGGAGGGATTAGAATTCTGTTTCCTGCTTTGTAGCCTGGTGCCTTAAGCACTAGACCAGGGGTAGGCAGCCTTGGCTCTTTTATGACTTGTGGACTTCAATACCCAGAATTCCTGAACCAGCCATGCTGACTCAGGAATTCTGGGAGTTGAAGTCCACAAGTCATAAAAGAGCCAAGGTTGCCTACCCCTGCGACTAGACCAACTCTAGCTCTCTTAAACACTGGCTGTCTTAAATACGTAACCATCTTTTTCCAACCATGGTTTGGGAAAGATCATATCAGAACTACAAGGAAATGCCATTTACAAAACAGAAGGAAAACAGGTTCTTTAAAACTTTTGTTTCCTCTCTCTCTTTTATTCACATCTCACAATTATAACAATCAAAGCTTACAGCAGCTAAAATGCAAATTATAAGACACAAAAATAAAAAAACCCAATATATTTAAAAGCACAGGTAAAATTTAAAATCCGTGTAATTAAATCAGTTCAGATAACAAAAATTTGGTGGAAGGGGTGAGACTTTTTTTTTTTTTTACCATTTTACTGAATACTATGAGAGTGAGAGCTAAGCACATCTTGGAGAATGCAATCCAAGGTCTTGGAGCCATACAGAAGAAGATCCTCTCCTATGTTCCACATAAATTAACTTTTGGTAGTGGTGGGAGGGGGAATCTTCAACCTTCTTGCTGATCTAAGTAACTGGACAGATTCATAATGGGAAAGGCAGATGGTCAGACCTGAACCATTTAGGGCAGTGGTTCTCAACCTGTGGGTCGGGACCCCATTTGGGGTCGATCGACCATTTCACGGGGGTCCCCAAGCAAGGCTGTCCGCCATTTTTTTTGTCCGCCATTTTTTTTGTCCGCCATATTTTTCCCCCTTTTCCGGTGGGTGCCTTACCTCCCTTGGGCTGGGCCAGCTGGTGGTCGGCCTGCTCCGTCTCTGCCGCTTGCCAGCTACGCCTCGGCCGGCGCAGGGGCGGAACCACGCATGCGTGGCGGTCCCGGGCAGGGAAAGTCCTCGACTTACGACCGGTTGGGTAGTCCTCAACTTATGACCGGTTTAGTCCTCGACTTACGACCGGTTTAGTCCTCGACTTACGACCGGATGGGGTCGCGGCATTAAAAAGGTTGAGAACCACTGATTTAGGGCTTTTAAGGTCAGCACCAGCACTTGCTTATTTCTTTGATTGATTGATTGATTGATTGATTGATTGATTGATTGATTGATTGATTGATTGGAAAAAAATTATGTAGCTGGCCATCTCACAATACTGTGATTTTAGGTGGTGAACAAGAATTAAAAGGAAAACAGAAACATGAGATAAATAGCAAGTAGAAATAATAAGATAAACATATAATCATGGTCGAAAAATATTCCTCTTCTAGTCCAGGGACAGAACCAGACAAATCAGCCAGTGTGTGCTCACTGAACTCCTTGACCCAAAAGCCTGGGGGAACAACCAGGATTTTAATGCTTTACAAAATGCCAATAGAGTCAAGGCCATCTGGATCTCCATGGGAATGCTGTTTTACAGAGGAGGTCCCCAAATTACACTCCATAATACAAAGGACTTGGAGCATGTCCACTCTGCCAACCCTAATGGGCCATATATGCATAATCACAAAAAGGTGGTCCTACATATGGTATAATGTGGCCCTGTGCCATGTAAGGCTTACAGGTTTCAACTGGTATCATTTAACTGATGCCCGATAAACGCCTGTAAACTAATAAAAATCTTTCCATAGAGAGGTGTCTTACAATCCCTGTAACTTCTGCCACTAGCTGCTAAACAACTACATTTTGTACTAGTTGGCAATTTCTGAATCCTTCCAGGAACAACCCCACAGAATGAACAGTATAGTCTTATGCAATAGGCACAGCAGAATATAACCAAGGCATACTGTAGATCATTGCCACTTAAGAGTTCTTGCTTCTTGCCTCAACTATCCTTGTCTGGGCAGACTTCATCTCAGTCCTCAAGTACAGCTGTTTCTTTACCTGAAACACTTTATATTTTGTCAGGATTTAATTTCAACTTGTTTTGTTTATTTCATTTTGTTTATTACTGAGTTTAGGATTGCCAATTATTTTCTTGGGGTTAGATGATGGGAAGGAGTAAACCAGAGTATCATCAGCATTATGATAGTGACCCATTCCAACACTCTGAATACCTCACTCACCAGTTTCATCTATATCTTAAAACCCAGAAGACAAAATTGAACCCTATGGGATGTGATGGATCTGCAGCCAATGTGTTGAACTGTAGCTCCACAGCACCACCTTCTGGGTATACTCCATCAGAAAAGATCAGAACCACTTCAAAATAGTGCCCCTAAGTCCCAACTCAGCCAGATAGATAGGAAGGATACTATATATGTACGTATGTATGTGTGTGTGTGTGTGTATTATATACTATACACTATACACTATACTATACACTATATACTATATATGTATGTATTTCATTTGGCATAATAGAATACAACATTAGTGCATACAAATTCACAAAAACAGCATATAAAATGTACATCAAAATATAAACACCAGAGCATTGAATTATTTTGAAAATACACAGTGTGAGTGATAAATAAAATTATGAATAGAATTAAATTATGTATGAGCAGTTACTGGAGTGACTAAACCTATGGCCAGATATATAGGTTGTTTAGCCATTGGACAGCAGTACCCTCAAGATGACGTATTTCTGCAGGGATTCAGGGAAACTTCTGAGGGGGCATTCCATTGCAATATGATGTAAAGTTTGTGGAATGTTCCCACAGTCACAGTTAGGATTATCAACCAGCCCCCATTTATATTTCCAGTATTGGCACCTGCCATGGTTGGTTTGAACCCGGTTACGTGCTGTCCACATTGTTCTTGGGAAATCAAAGCCAAAAGAACATTGTACTGGACACTAAATATAACAGATCTGGGTTAGAAGCTGGCGCCATGCTATTTCATTGTCAAATGCTATCTAAGTTTCCATGAAAAGTTCCAAGATTTGAGTGTGAATATTTGATGATAGGTAATAATCAGCTTGCCACAGATTTTTGCCACCTCCTTTTTAAGGCTGATTGCCTTCTAGGTTGTGGGGTAGTATGTTAGATAATACTGGTAATCATTCAGAAGGTGTTCCTGATATTAGCCTCATAATGTGATTAAGCTGGGTATCCACTGCTTTTGTGTGGGCACTGTTTAATCATGCAGGGCTGCAGTACTTGGCCACCAAGTATATCAAAGCAAGAGCTGATGTCCTAAGAACTGTAGCCTTGCTGCCCAGCTGGTACCAGAAAGTTTATGTAGAATTTTTATTTTATTTTATCTACACACTTTTTCTTTTTAACTTTGGTCCTACAAATTAAGGACCGATCAACGGTCATTCCTAAATGCTTTGGATTACGATTAAATTTCAGCAACTGGTTCCTAGATTCCATTTGGTATATAGTTAGGGACAGTGACAGTTTTTCATTTGGACTTCTTTGGGTTTCACAGTAAAATACATGGGAAAATACGATTGCCAATAAAATGAAACTAGGGTTAGGTATAGGGTTAGGTCTCTTTGGAGTCGGGCCGAAAACTGATGGTAGGGATAGATTCTTATATGTTCCCTAAGGTAAGTGTCAGGAACAGCTTTTTGTTCAGATGTCTTTGGCATAGTACATAGTAAAACACATGAGATAATCCCATTGCCAAAGATACTGAAACTAACAGTATTGTTAACAGGCAAGGCAGGGAATTCCTCATGCCCATTCATAAAACTACTGCAAAAGTTAGAACAGTCACCATTCTAACATTAACAATGAGTTTTCCATCATCAGCTCCATCTGAATGGAGTAAGAATATGCTTGAGTGTAGTCTGATGTAATCTGGATACATTTTATTTACAAGAGTTTTGTTTGCCTACTGTATTTGAAAAGTAATCTGGAGGTCATCAAGGAAAGAGCTAAAAATTGTTGCAACATGAAAACAATATCCAGTGCTTTACCTGATGATTGCCTTTTCATTTCCAAACATTGTAAATATTCCAAAGTAAATATTTACAGCAGTGACGTTTTTAGTGTATTTGGTATCTTTATAGAAAGACATGTTTCATTTTTAATATATTTTATTTATTAAGAGTGGGTAATGTTAATCTGAGTACCTTATAGGAGAGGGAGTAATTTGCATTTTAATTATTCCTTTGTAAACCACTAGATGGTAGCAGAAGACAACAAAGCCCTGCCTTAGAATGTCTCACCAGACTTAGGGCTGAGCTGCCTAAGCTTCTGCAAAGGAGGAATGTTTTATTTTTGCTTCTCTTACAGAGCAAAACACAAAAAACACAAAAAAAAGAAAAAAAAGGTTTCTTCTATCTTTCAGCTTCTTTCTCTCCCCTTCCCTTGCTCTCGTTTGCCTGGAAAAAAAGCACATTTATTCACTCACTATATGATACTTTAGCTTTGAGGATTTTCTTACTGTGGTCTGCAAATATGTATAGGTTTTTCTTTTTAGTTTCAATGATTTCTTGCATGATCTCTGACTACTATTATCTCATATAAGACTAGGAAAGCTTTGTATCCTATTAAGAAGCAACTTGTTTCTTAGCTGCCAAGCCTGCAGGCTTAAGTTTCAAAACTTAGGAGAAGGAAGAGGAGTAGATGCTTGTGATCCTGCAGAATTTCTCACATGAGGCTAGTAAACAGGGTCTGCAGGACTTACTTATGGAGTCAAGTATCCCCCACACTTGCAGG